AGGGAATAGATGTTAAACCAAAGTTAACTGCGGTTTATAATCATCAAAACATACAAACATGGGGGCATATACATATGTGGTCCTGTGATGGAAAGCTTGGCTCTTATTGTGATGGAGTTACTATTTTTCTTTGAAATTCAGAAAGGTATCACAATTGTATCAAAGTCTCAATAACTATGAATGTGTGGTGACCATCTCCCATGATGAAAGGGAGATTTGAGGAAGCCTATAAAGAAAGACTCAGGAAAAATATGAGAAAATAATAAATGGGAGAGTTGTTCACATCTCTTCTTTCCTGTAATTATAGAAATTTAGATCCACCTAGGAGAACATATTTGAACTTGAGCTTGGAAGTAGATTTCATGGGGATTAATTTTTCATTCCTTCAGGTTTGGGATTGATATGAGGTAATGCCCTATGAGGACAGTGATCAAAAACACATAACAAGTACCTAATTGTGAATAAAACATTCCTCACATTACAATTGGGAAAAGAACTGCACTAAATTGCACCAAAGGATCGTGTCCCTCTGTACCCTGTTTCTAACAGTGCTTATGAGTATCTCATGGAGAAAAAGTAAGATTAGGCAGACATTCTTTATTTAATAGTACTTTAGACTGCTTATCTCATTGTTATCTGTATCTATCTATACAGTGCTTGTCAATAATTTATTTCTGTGAACTTGAGCCTGCATATTCTCTCTCTAACATTTCTCTCATTAAGCATTTCCTCTTTCTGTTGGATTTGAACCTGGCTGCTGGCTTCTTCTCAGTTCTTGTCCTTGGACAAGTATACTTATTCGTTCTCAGCTAGATTTTTCTTTTTCCACTCTAATATTTCTTAGATTTTTAACATTGGTGTTAAAGCATGCATTTTGGTCCACTTCGCACCCTATTTAAATAGCACTCCTATTTTTTATAGGCCTATTTCTTAACCTTCACAAGTCAGACAATTTGAATGACCTTCTCTGTAAAAGACACTCTTTTATACATATTAGCTTTTTCCCAACCCTTCGGTTTAAGAGTTCACTAACAAGCTTCTTAAAAAGCTAGCAGTCTGGTTCACTTAGAGTTCAAATTAGATACATCCTTCCTTTTTGGCCTTCATCTGCTCCAGAAGCATTCTATGTGAATCATCAATGGGCAATTAGTCTCCGGTAAGAAGTTTGTTTACAAAATACATTCTCTACATATATATTTAAACCAAAAGCAGGAGAAAAAAATTTTAAATATAGTGGAATATAGAAATTTCAGAGTACTTGAAAAAGTGTTTTTACTACTTTTTAGATATTTTGCATAATATTTCAAAATTTATTAAGAAAATTAACCTATCCTTTATCTAACTAGTTCACAAAACAGTTGTGACAATTTTTCAGTAAGATCAAGACTCACTGTAGTTGCAACCTCAGTTCTCTCAAAAAACATTTGAGAATGTGAGAGTTAAAAAGATTCACTGTGGTATTTACTGCCATTTTCATTATACACGGTATAGTCTTGCTCTCATGAAACATCCAAATAATATATTAGATAAAAATTCTACCTTTTTAAGAATTACATGTTCTAACAATAAAAAGAAGTATTTTATTTGTATTCAGTCATGCCAATATTGAAACAGAATTTCAATGAACTGTTACTGAATAGCCTTCTTTTTATGGGAGAAACCCATCTTGCATCAAAGCTAGTGAAATGTCACCTTAGAGATCACTCGCCCAGTTGGACAGTGAGATGGAGTATAGAGAAAGTGCCAGCTAAATGTTTTGCTCACCCTTTTACTGGTAACAGTTTTTTCCATCTTTAATGAATTTGCAAAACTATATTGGGTCTTCTGTTGGGTCATGTCTCAGAAATTAACGGTTAGTTTTTTGACTTTAAAAAAACAACCCACAACAAACAAAACCCCAAAATAACAAAGTTGAAACTGAACCAGGTTTCAAAATTTCTCTCTCTTTAACAATACTGTTAATCGTATTATTTTCATTGCCTAATCAAGTTAGTACCAGGAAACTAGTTTTTTGAGGCTATAAATGATGAAGAGAAAAAAAATCTCTTCTAGGTTATTACTTAGATTAGGAGTGGAACATTGCCTGATTAACCACTCAAGCCTATTGCTCTTGTCTACAGAGGTATTGAAATGAATGCTGATGTTAGAAGTATAAAGCCAATAACCATACATTCACAGCAGTTTCTCAAGTGTTGTTTGCTCTTCGACCTGTATTTGCACTAATAACAGCAATATTTGGAACAAAAAAAATGACAGGATGTGAAGAGTGTTTGAAGTTAGGAAATGTGCTTTTGTATGTGAAATGAGCACTTCTCGGTGGGGAAATCAATTGCTGAGAGGTAATAAACAAGGAAACCAATAAGAAGGATTTGTTTTTGCTTTTCAAAAGAGGATTGCAATTAAAAGTAGATAATCTTTAATTTTATTACAGAACTACAATGAAAACAGATAATCTTTGCATCTATTAGATAGGATTTATTAATATCTTGTTATCTTACTACACTCTAATTTCCCTCTAACAATTATCTTCTCTTGTCTGAAAAATCTTTCCCTCAGTATGCTTTAGTGGTTATTCAGGCATCTATAGGATTGGTCCCATGTAAACAATACATGCTCTCAGCTTTTTTTTTTTAAGAACTAATATAAAATACATGAGTGTATAAATAAAAGTTAACAACATGTCTAAATATTCTTTATATCATACGGTGATACTCTTAGAGAAACTAATATAAACATGACACTACAAACCTGAGGTAAAATACACACTACATGTAAATTCTAAAAAAAAAAAAAAGGCATCTAAACTGATATGTAATAAAGTGTTTATAAACAGAATGTAAATAATAAATAATTCTGTTAAAATAAGCAGAATTTCTCTCCAGTTTGATAATTCTTATGACCCCAACTTTTTATCCTGCTCTTCCCAAGTCTTTCAAGGAACTCGCTTGATCAATATTTTTCTTTTCAGAACAGTGAAATCTGATATTTGGAAAATGTGCAGCACAGCCCTACTCTTCAGTACTAAAAAACAATAAATCATTTATCCAAGAATCCAAAAATATTTTGTTTCTTTCTAATTCCAATTAATTATACTTTGATATCAATTTTTCTTTGACAGAATCAAGCTGCATTTCACATTTTATTATATACATAGACAACTTGTAGAACGAATCCTCAAAAATTTTTGTAGTTTATGTATATTATATTGCTTGTTATATGTGTGGTCAAAAGGGTAAAACTTACAATAATCCTTTCCATGACTGTTTAGAATAATAATTGAAAATTATTGTAATTTTTAATTGAATATTTATCTCTCTACTTAAAAAAAAAAAGATTTCCCACTCCCCTGAACTGCTCACTCGTTTTCCTTCTGATTTCCTCTTGGCTTTGGTATACAGTAAGTATATGACAGAAGATGAGATAGTTCAGCTATAATAATATTTTTATTATCAAATCCATTTGTCATTTTTCTCTGCAGTAATATTTGAAAAGGGATATAATTTTACAAAGTAAACTAAAATGTTATTAAGAGTAGATATCATCACTTTCATAGAGCTCCACTCATTGCTGAAATCATAAAAATAATAACTATACTTTCTCTTAAAGTATTCTGTTCTATGAACTGTATACAAAATAATTGTCTGTTGCTTTGAGCCCATGAGATCTAAAATCCTTATAACATTTGCATAATTGATGACATTATAAGAATCATAAAACATTGCTTTTTGAAAACAAGAACAATATAGATGCAGTTGCTATTACTTGTCTTGCAGTTTTGGTGGGGAAACATATTTTTAGATTAAAGAAACGACTTTTCACTATAGTAATTGGACAATGGGGAGCAAGGTTTTAATAAAAGTATTCACGTCCCATGGCAAATGACCTAATTTAAAACATAGTTCTTGAGTTAACTCACATTCTAGTGATGACTAAAGTATTTTCTGAGTGGGAATTTGTGACCCATGAGTTTTGCAATGAGATACCATATCTTATCTGAGTTCCAGAAGTAGAGTCAATAAACAAGGTCCTATTGTATTTACAACTGCTTGAGACTTTTTCCTTATGTGATATGAACAGATGTTTTAGACAAAAGATCAAGACTTATTATGAAGAGACTTGTAGGAACTGGAAGGTAGAAGAGAAAAAAATTGTAGATCCAGAACCTGAAACTTTTAATTCACTGAGAGAGTTATTAGACAGGATTTTTTGTTGCTACGCCTAGCAAAAAGATTTCCATCCAGTGAAGACTGATAAAAGACCCTGCCTAGGTGGCTTGGAAGTGTTCAAGGTACTACCCATTAGGCTGTGAAGTCTACACAATGCAAAGCAATTCAGATCCCATTAACAGGAAAATACTATTAATATAGACTCTCTTAAATAAGGAATAGGTTAATAGATTTACCAGATCACAGATCTATTTGGAATTAAAGTGTATTGTCAAGATTGAAGTGCTGTAGTGACACCGATCACCACAAACTTAGTATCTCTGAGTCCTGCTCACTTATGCTATACAACTGTGACCAAAGGACAGTCCCTCATGAGAACCTAGGAACAAACATGGTTCAGGTGCTTCATGGGCTCATTGTTTGTCTGTTCCTATGCAATACTTTTAAAATTCAAAAGCCTTAAAATGTGTTTTAAACAGCCACTCCTACTCAGAAAAATATGCTTCCCTGTGAAGGAGCAAGATCCAGGACGGGAACAGTTCCAGGCATGGAGGAAGATATACAGCAATTGACAGGACTTTATTATACAGACTGTACAGTTTTTATGTGTTTATAAATATACACATTGTATGTTGCCCCTATATTTATATTTCCCGGGCATGCCCAGACATACCTGCTTCCCTACTCCCTGCTTCCCCGCTCCCCTCTCTGATTGGCTGGAGAAGCTGTGAAGAGGAGACAGCCACCATTCGCCCTTTCCTTCCCCTGCTTCTCCCGCGTTCCTCCCCCTTCTACCTGTGTCCCTATCCCAATTTGTTCCCCCGTTTGTCTGTCTCATGCTCCACCCCATGTTCTGGTCCTTTACCCGCCTGAACTGATAAAAAATCCCATGCACGCCTCAATAAAGCATTCCATCTCCACCCCTACCTTGTCTCCAGACCCATCTGTGCTGTGTCACGGCCCCATCCCCCCTCAGACCATGGCACTTCCCTTATACTTCTTCAACTGAATTTATATCATAAACAACCTTCTTATGCCATAAAGAACAGGTTTTCTGTTAATGGAGGTAAGTTTTCTCTGGGTTGTAGTTCTAGAGAATGTACATCTTACCTCTTAAAGAAGCATATATCCTTGAGGTTTTGTGCTCATTTCCAAGAAAACTGCATGTCAACTGTCCCTGGATGATAGACAACCATGTAAATAAAGCATTAATATAACTCTTGCAAAGAAAATATTGCAAGAATCTGAGAATTACAATAATTTGCTTGGATATTTATACTGACTGCATTGCTAATCTGTAGTTTTCAAAGGTGGGTGAGCAATACCTGTGTTTAACAGAAGTGGGATCAGCACAATGAAATTCCTTGTATGAAAATCACAGAAAGTTCATATGGACTGGAATAGCCAAGGAATGGCATGAGAGACAAGATCTCTATCCATCATAGGTGATTTCCCTATGGTCACTTGAGTAGTCTGGCATAGAACCAGAGAGAACCTCTTGGTTTCCCATCTGATAATCTATTTTTGAACTGAAGAAAGGTGTTACCCATAGTTCTTTATTTGAAAGTCATTATAATATGATGTGGATATGTTTCATTGACAATAGGTATAATGAACATGATATTGGATGACAAAATGACTGTTCCTAATAATGAACTGACAGTGACACTTGAACTTCAGCTGAAATTTTGGGTTTGGTCTGATACAAAATGGAAGTGAGGAAGTAGAAGAAATCCAGCCTAATAGGAAATGAAGCAAAATGTTTAGGTAACAGAACAAATATTAACAAAAGAAAAAATTACTTATTTTGTTCTGTCAAGCTGAAGATCCTCCTACTCTGGTGATACAAAGTTTTGTAAAGGGCAAATGACAAGAGCAAGCCAAAACTGAATTAGTTTTATACATAATATTACTTCTTGGAGTAAAAACCAAACCTATTAGGCAGCAAACTTAGGAGGAAAATGTATGTGGAAAGAAAGAGACAGTACCACTGGGCCTTGTATTTTATCTTATTACTTCCATTAAGTCATTAAGGTGTCCATCATGATTACCACCGATGATTATCTGGAATGCAGATGGGTTGAAGACATAAACATTTTTAGCATTCCTAAGTAGGATGCAGGTTGGCTCCACCCCAGATTTTTTCCCTGGGGTGGAGCCAGGGAAATTAGTTTGTCTCCCTGGTAATCATGTCTTTTGGACTGAAATTGATTTACAGTCCTACCTTCAAGCATGTCTTTACCCTGATAGCAGTAACTAATAACAATGGGCAAGAGACCCAGATACAGGATGCTATTTTGCACACTTGAAAACTATTTATTTTTTCTGCATTTCTGTGAGTGCATGGGGACAAAAAGCACTCTGTTCTGATAGGGTCACAATATTTTTTACATTAAACCTTTTGCATTGCGTTGTACTAGCAATGCCATCTATTCTGAAATGCCTAACTAATGTTCAATAAAGTTATATTTCATTGTAATTCTATTTCCTGTCACACTCTTTATCTCAATAAACAACTCTTCATCCTGTCTCTGGACATTGGAGGCCTAGTCACATTGCCAAAAGAAGCACCAATGATGAGAATGCCATTCAGCAAGTATTAACATTTTTATCTCTCATTAAATAAAAAGTCTCATAGAAAGATTTGAGTGTAGCTGCAACTACCACATGTGATGTCTCTTAAAATATGATAAATCGACAATTTTACCCTAACAGTTTGGAGTGAACAACTAGAGGAAGGCCTTGTTTTCTTACGATTTACATCACATTCATAGGTAAAATGTGTGTACTGGAATCTCTTTCACTGAGGTTTGAGATAAAGGCAGTTTCAGAAGCCAGTGCTTAACATTTTAGATCAAGTTACTACTTTTTCTGGCTAATCTGCTCAACATTGCAGTGGACAATGTCGGAGAGTGTACATTGTCACTTTCTGTGTCTGGGTGCCCGAGGGGTGCAGGCTCGATGTTAGTTCACTTCCCTTTCTCCTAAATATTTTATGAATTTCTGCTGTACGATAACCACTGTGGCCATTCAGGGTATAGTGGGGATTTCTTAGGCATATATGTCTCCACCATGCTCTGCCTTACAAAGCTTTACTGACTCTGAATTCTACTAGTTTCTCAGGTCTTGCACAGAATGCATTTGTAAGGAAAATGTATCCCCTATGGCTTGCAATCTCCCCCACCGGTGTTAACACTTCGAATTGTTTCCTAATTGCAGAAAACTGTAGTTGATTAATAATTAAATATTTTCAGGTGGAATCTTTGTTCACCCATGAGGTGTTCAGTCCTTAGAAATGTGTGAATTGCCTATTTCCTAAATATTGGTTGAAAGTGTTTAGGAGAAGAAGTGAAGATAAATATCACAGACATTTGAAATTGCATGGGGAATTGCAGGCAGGGAAAATGAAACTTACAAATTGCATACTTGATTGAGATGCTGGAGGCCCTTTTTAAGTCATTATGCTGTATCATTCTTCCATTTAGTGCAATTTATTTTCTCTCTCTTGAATCTTTGCAGATAGATTTATTAAGATATTGTAACTATTCTAAAATAGGTACACATTCATCTGCAGTAAAATTGCATTTGCCATACAGTAGTCCAGGTACTTAATATAAATGACATAGTTCTTCTGGTTTTTATTGCACACAACCCAAGTAATTTGTAGTGTTGCTGTGGTAATTCTAAACCTGGAATTTTATTTTTTGGTTTGAATTTTTGTTCGAATTAGTTTTTTTTAACCATTTTATAAAAACTTGTTCTTTAAAATTTCCCCATACAGAGTTTTCTGTAAAACAGAAGTGGAAAGGAGTCAGTAATTATATGACTGTAATTGCAGGTAGTAGTTTAAATTTTAGAACAGATTAGTTACTAATAAACTTACAGCCTCATGTCAATTTTTTGAATATCCTTTTAAGCTGCTAATCAATACCCTGTTTTAGTCTCAAGGTGTCTCAAAATGCAAACAGTAAGTCATCTTTGACTAGTTTTGTCTTTGAAGGGATGGAAACCTCATCCAAACACATACATGATTCAGAATGTAAAAAAGTAATACCCTATCTTAACTCAGTCTATGGTGAAAATATCTTCTAGGGAGTATAGAGTCAGTAGAGACCTATGATCAATAGTAGAGTAGTTAATGATGTTGACATTTTACTTTTTCTGAAGGAACTTTTAGCAAAATATATGTAAAATACTTTAGGGAAACTGATACATCAACGAGTATTTATTGCCAGCTAAAGTAGGAATTGTGCTATTTATTGAGTCATCAGGCACATTTCTCTAAACATTTTAGAATTTCTACACTGAAAAACAATGACATGCATTCAGCAACTGTCTCCTCCCATTATTTGCAAGACTATTCATAGCACTAGTTTAGATATTCCTTGCTAAGCTTTCAGATTTTTGGTAATATTATTGTATACCCACATTAAAATTGTATATCCACATTGTTATTCTTGCAACATATAAAACTATTGTATACATTTTCTTAGAACTAAGTATCCTGAATGTATCAACTCTGTCAATCCTCCCTCATTTTACTATATACAAAAGAGTTACAGCACTAACAAGTTCTTCTACCTTTACAGTTATAGCTACTGGTAACTATTATGGTTTGGCTGGAAAGACACCAGTCTCTTGACTAGCATCATGTTTCTATAGTGGTCCCAGTTTTCTTCAAGATGTCAAGATACTATGCATCCTCTTTAACAAGTCTTTCATCATATCGCATAAATGTACAGACTGTAACAATAAACTTCAGACAAAACCTGTGAAAAATATGTAAAAATATATCACTCTCCTATTAACTTTCTCATCACTCACTTACTATTTAAGTAATGTTCTTTTACCATACCAGTAGCAAATATACTCCCTTCTTGAAAATGATTAGCTGTTTAATAGCAGCTTGCTACCTTTATTTCGTATTAAGTCCTTTTTGTTTGTTAAAGTATCTCAGAGATAGAAAATGAAAGGTTATTTCTGAAATATCTTTAAGTACTTTTCCCTAGACCTGAGTGAACTCTTGCAAATTAACTAAAAATGGTGTTCAAATTCAGGCTGTATATCTATGGATTTTTCTGTAATTTTCTTGTATCTTCAATGTCTTCTTAAATATAATTTAGAATAAAACTATACTCCTGTTTATAATGACTGAAAAATTGGGATTTATGCCAATGTTAATTTTACAACAGCAGACACCTAAACAGCAAGATAATGGAAGATCAAAGGACTTGTATAATTATTTTATCTTTCAAAAATACTGATGCAATAGTTTCCCTTCTCCTGATTTTTTCTTTCAGTTCTGTTTTGGTTATGCAAACATAGCACTTCCTACCTGGCCTGAAACAAAACCTCCATGCTTGAAGCCATGACAATGCTGAGTAAAGCAGAAGGGTCCCTCCATGACTCTCTGTATTTCTGCCTCAGCCCATTTGCCTGGTCTATCTTACACTTCAGCTACTTTGTGAAGTTTTTATCCACAATATAGAAATTTCATCAACCAAGTTATGTTTCAGAAAATCACCTTGAGGCAGTTTCAATAGCTTTAGTTAAGATTTATGGTTTCTCTACTGTATCTTCAAAATAAGTAAATAGTTTGGATTGAGAGGTATTCTTTATTATTGTGTTAGCTATCACACATTCCTTTCTTTTTTCCAAATGGTCAAAAATTGCTCTAAAATTTTGCCAGATGTATTGAATTGGGTAGATTTTATTCAATCAAATAATGACATATTTATGGCCTTAGTTAATTGAACCAGAATTATAGATGAGAACAACAGTAAACTTCTCATCATTACCAGCAAATTAGTCTGTTTTTTTTTGGATTTTCCTACTGATCTTAGCATGTCCACATAAGGAGAAGTTTAGGCACATGCCAGAGTGTAGATTTAGTATTCTTTTCCTGGTAGAAATACAGCAACATTCTTCAGCAGAATTTGCTCTAAATATACTGCAGTTTGAGCAGATCTGAGTAGCTCAAACTGTAGTTGAGTGTCAACACAGAGACAAGGACAGAAAGTAAAGACCTCAAATTCACTGGTAGTAATCTCAAATTCCCTCTTCTTTCCTTCCTCAGGAGCAAGGATGTGCCTATTCAGAGGCATCCGTACGCTCCTGTTCTCAGTTGCCACTCTATTACACATTTGCTGGTTTGGCAATAACATTCCCATAACTGATGTAAGACTGGAATAAGAGAATGCTGGAGATGATTGTACTGTGTTTTAAACACAGCAACAAAATCACTGTCTGTATACCAGACTGACACTATTCTCTTTACTTAAACAGTTTGTTTTCCATGTTAAGGGGAATGGGTCCAAACAAACAACCAAATAAAAAAGGGGAGAGAAAAATGATCTCACAAATGCTAAACTGAAATATTTAAGATGGAAAGTTCCATCCTATAAAGGGAAAATATATGCATGAAATTTTGATAGTTACATCACTTTTGTTCCAGTTCTCAAAATAAAGTCATTCAATGCATTTGATGAGAGTCTCAAAGCCAAAAAAAAAACACAAGGGAAAAGTGGAAAAATTCATGCTGAGCATTATTTGTAAGTGTTATACAAAAGACTATAATGTTACTGAGATTTTCTTTTAGTCTGGAGTCTAAAGAAAGAAATCAAGACTCAGATGCTGTGATGGTCTTCAATCCTTTATCTTTGTTCAATTACAAGTAATTTTTAGAAAATGCTTCAAAAAGAGCGATGGCCATGTTTCAAATAATAAAATCCTGGTTCCTTTTGAAATGCTGAAATAGTATAGTTTATGTCATATTTAGTTGTACAAAAATTCAATGTGGGACTGAAGAAAATTCAGTGTGAGTTGATGTGACAAAAATTTACTGAAGCCAAACCAGCAGGTCAGCATAAGAAATTGCAAACATCCTAGAACTTCAAAAAGAAAGTAGAAATCAATTGTAATAAAAATCAACTGAAATTAAGCTGTGAATGCTTAAATCCACTGCAGTTTAAAGAACCTGTGGTCCTCTGAAAAGTACTGTCTGGAGCTGAGCATAGAAAAGTGGACCGAAGTGTTGCCTTCTCAGAAATTTTCTCTTATTTTGAGTGTATTTTTGGAAGGAGGGACAAATCTGTCTGGTTAGGCCAAAAAAAAATTGTTCTGAATAGGAGTATGTGGTTGCACAGTGCTTATTTGTGCTTCTCATATAAAGATCTCTTATTGTTGCCAGCTTGTCTAAAGAAATACAGAGCATTTTTTAAAATACCAATAAAAGCACCTTTCTCCAAGAAAGTGTTGTGTTTGCTTTTAAATAAGAAATTGTCTGATCTATCTGAAAATGAACATCATTGACCATTTCTACAAAACAGAACATTAGTTTTCAAATAGATCTATCTTTCTCTGACATTTCTCCTTTCCTCTTGCTAAAGGTTTTATTACTTTGGAATTTATCCAGTGCACTGTGTCTTCTTAGATTTGCCCATTACCTTCAGTATTATTATTCTTGCAACTGTTTCTGATATCAGTTGTCCTAAGATTTCAGTGCAGTCCAGCTGTGTGGCCACAGAGGTTTCTCCCCTGGTGATTTTAATTGGCATAAGTTGTATTAGGGTGTGATTTTTATTTTTGTGAATATCAAATGTGGATCTTCTGGAATAACTTGTTCTCTTTCTTGGATATTCAGTTTCTGATTTTTGATGCCATACCTTCTGGGTTTCCTAAGTGAAACCCTGGCTGGCATTTTAAGTGATGGCTTCTTTCTCCGTAGAACCAACCTCAGGTTGGAAGGGACTTCAGATGATCTCTGGTACAATTTGTTCAAAGCAAGGGCAGCTGTGAGATCAGACCAAGTTGCTCAGGGTTTTACTCTCCCTTCCCTCACTGACATAATTATTGCAATAGATTTCAGTAATTTCATTATTTTTATTTTCCAGGGAACCTTAATATAATTTTTGGTTTCAAAATTTGAATATGCCTTATAATCACCCATAATGCTCCAGTTGTTCAAAAATGTGAAGATTTTAGCTAGAGGATTAATTTCTGATGGACTGTTAGCTGCGTGGGGCAGGGCACGTCTCCAGGATGAAGGACCACCGCCTCCCTAAGATCCTGCTCTATGGTGAACTTGCCACTGGCTGCCGCAAGAGAGGAACCCTGAAGAAAAGATACAAGGACTCCCTGAAACAACATCTCAGCCTTGGCCATATTGATCATCATAACTGGTCTACTCTGGCCTCCAGTTGGGAGGCCTGGAGACACACCATCTGTAACTCTGCTGATGCCTTTGAGAACACACACAGGATCACCCTTGAGGAGAAAAGACAACACAGAAAGAATCGTGCCTTGCAGAATTTACCATCTAAGGAGTCTTTCTGCTGTGCCTTTTGCAATCGGATATGTCTATCTCGTATTGGCCCATTAGCCATCAGCGTGCCTGTAATAAATGTGGATAGAGCCTTCCTAAATCTTTGTTCACAAAGCCCAACCATGATCATGTAAGGTTTCTAAGTGCGAGTAATCTCATCACTTGAATTGCTTTGTGCATAACAGGAAAATTGCAAGGTACCACAGTAAAGTGACTGCAATTTGAAGTGCATGTGACTGCTCAAAACAAAAAATGAAACATTTAAATCAAAATTAGACACATGAATGGGCACAAAAATCTCCTGGAGTATCCTTTCTTATAAAACTACAGTAAAAAAATTCTCATTTGTTTTTCACTAAATAAAGTTGTGCATATTTAATAAAACATAATTCCAGTCATGAGTTAAATTGCGTATTGTGATTCAGCATAAATTAGAGATGAAAAAGGTACTGTTCTCTGCAAGAAGGAGAAAGGAGGAAGAAATTACTATCTAAACCAGTTGTCAAATTACTTGTTGGTGACAAGGGTCGCATTTTTATATAAGTGAATGTTTAGCCTATAACAAGTCCAGGAGTCCAGTGCATGAGTTCAAGCGAAAATCACTGATGGGATGTTTCTCTCCTGGTCAGAAGGCATTGATTTCATGACAGTAGAGGTAACAAAGACATGACTGAAGTCTTTCAGAGAAACGTACCATCTATTCACTTGTATACCACAGAGTTCTGAAAGCTTGGGAAAAAAAATATTTTGTCTTCTGTAGGACTTATATCGGGAGTTTGTGGTTTTCTTTTTGTTTGTTTTCCTTCTGTGCTTGAGACTGACTCCTTTATACAGAAAAGGCTTTAATTTCATTCCAAGCTATGTTACAACCCCCTTGAAATGGGTCTTGATAATGAAAGGGCTGAGCCATGTTTGCAGCTTGCCAAAATGGCACATCTGTCACTATAAAAGCTGTACTGTGAAGTGACAAAAGAAAGCCAATATATAATACGATTTTTTAAACTGTAAAAATAATACAAAACAAGGGCAGGGCATTTGTCAAATAAATCTGGCATGATCTAATACTCTTTGCGCAGTGTTTAATTTTCAGGTGCCAGAGCTACGTAACAAAGAAGTTAGGAAGCCCTCTACTAACACAAATTACAGTAACTGAAGGAGGCATTAACTCCTGCCCCTTTTGAATTGTGGGGTTTTTCTATTTATACAGTCCCTCCCTGGATTACTTACTATATGTTATAATTATTGTTTAGTAGCATTGTAGGGAGTAAACCTGCTAGAACTGAAATATGCTCATTGAATCTCTCACCTCAAGTGGTGTCTCTGATAGCTCATTTCAAAATGGGAACTGACAGCTCATCTCTTTGTCTCCCATAATCAAATCCTTTTTTTCTTTCATAGGCTACTGTTCAGAGGAAATTGCATTTTGCCGTAGTTTTGATGTTTTGCGAAGCCATGTTACAGGTAAAGGGGTATTTGGAGGTACAGAGGCAAGGTTGTGCCCTCATAAAAAGGCAGTGTCGATTTTGTTTGTATCAAATTGAGGTCGGTAGCAGTTGCATGAGGACAAATAGAACTGAAGTTTAGCTGCTTTTAATTTTAGTTACTTAAATGTTGAGGTGTTGATAAGGCTAGCGATAACTTGTACTAAAAAGGAAACTTTGCACTGCAGATTTGGATAAAACAAAAGAAGTTAATGGTGGTATTTTATCCTTGACAACCTGATTTCCTATAGCCTTGCTTCTTTTCCTACACAAATTTAGCATACCAGAATATACATCCCAAGTTAATATTCCAACTTGAAAAATAATTACTAAAAAACAATATAAGCCTAGTATATATATATTTTTTTAATGCATGGAAATGAGCCTTATATTTTAAGTATGTAAATAGGCAGCCTACATCAACCCTGCACAGCTGAAGTACCACAGTTAGGTGTATAGTCACTGTAGATGCTCTTTCCAATCAATGGGGAGAAAGTGGCTCCTGATGAAAAGCATTTATCTTAATATCTGACCTACCTTCATGGACCTGCCTCCATCTACAGACAATTGATAGTCTTGTTTCAGTAACATCCACAAAGAATATGCATGGCATATGATGAATTTGTGTCATGTTGCAGAACAGTAATTTCAGAGCAGAGGAAAGGGAGAAACAGTTTTGCAGAACCAAATATTAACCTGGAAACAAAAGGAATCCAAACTGGGCTAAAAGAATTTCAGTATTTTCACAAGTGATGTTTTCATCGCTTGTGTAGCAATTTGATTCTGACTGTGTTTCAAAGATCTTAATGAGGATCAGTGTAGATACTAGATTGCTTTCCTCTTGGTTATGTTTATAAATCTCTGTGAAAAGCAGAATAAGGAGCTGCTGATGTTTCAACAATTATAACCTCCTTTGTGAGGACCTATCGAATGCAGCAGTGAAAATGAAGCAGTATATATTCTGTGCTGTTTGAAACAATTTTCTTTCTCTACCTTTTCTTATTTCAAAGGAAAAAGATATCATGTCCTAAAGCAGCTGCAGCTGTGTTTTTTGTGAGTTTTGTTTGCTTGTTTTTCCTTTTACCTTAGTGTCTAAATTAATAAAAGCATTTTTAATTACTTTTTTTTGTTCTTTACAAAGTCGACTCTCATGAGGTTGAAAACAACTTTTTCAGTGTTTGTGTAACCACAAAGCCCTTTGTGCTGGGTTCATTGCAAGCTGATGCTGACTACATGTGTGATGCAATGATTTGAGTTCTCAAATCGCTGGTTTAGCATCCTTAGAAAAGGTTCTTCAGTAGGAATAACTGTAAAATAAGGCTGTGGAGATTGTGATAATTTGAGTGTATTCCCTGATTCTTTCCCACTGATGATTAATCTTCCCTTCATTCAGCTGAATTTGAGACTGTGGAGGGAAGTACTGATTACACTTCTCTGTATTACTAAGAAAAAAGTCATTTTCTTATCTTTAAACTGGAAAAATGAAAAGGATGAGTTCTACACAATGCAAACCCAAACTATTATACTCACATTTGGGAGAGAAAAATTCATAGATTCCACTGAGACTGCAAAAGCCTTCCTCAAACTTGAAAGATGAATGCTGGTTACAGCAGTATAAGTATTATGCATTATTATTGTTAATATACTAATTACTTCTGTTTCCTTTTAAGGTATCTTCAGTGTGGCCCACGTGTGTGTGTGTGTGTGTGTGTGTGTGTTTGATTTGCGATATAGAGCAAGAGTGATTCTCACTGCCAGCAGAGAAGTAGGCTGGCTCATCAGTTCTCCTGTGTACACAAAGGGAGAGATTGCTGTAGACTGTGAATGTTGAACCCCATCTGAAGGAAAAGGTTCCTTTTTTATAGCTTTTTTTTTCCCTCATCTTATAGCCAATTTTCCTGATTGGTTCCCAGTATTGTTTCTTTTAAGGACTTTGCTTCCAAATATACGTAGTGTCCTGTGCCTGCATATTCCCTTAGCTCAATAAGAGAAGCTCATAAGTCATTTTGGACAATTCATATAATGTGTGGTAGGATGCGTACAGCATGCTATGCTCCTCTTTTTTCACAATGAAACCGCTATTAAGGGATATAATTTTTTTCCCAATTATAATTTTTTGCACTCTTTTGTAGTGAAATGTGAGAATCTTTTTCCAGAGAACAATATATGACTGATACCTGCAGACACAAGGCAAGACATCATTATAGCTCTTCCTTTTCATTTTTCTTAAAGTTAGCTACAGATGTTTTGTTAAATTTTTACATTAAAACACAGAGAATTGAAGTTTGATTTTTTACTCTACGTTTATCAAGAAAATTAAATCCATTTAATTTGCACAAGTATAAATTCTACTTCTCACAAAATCCTAGCAACTTCAAAGAGAGAATATGTTCAGCACCTGTGGAGTCGGAGAAAATTGTTGGCATCAGTGGTCAAACACAAAGGGGACAAAATGCAGGAAACCAATGGTGAGAATTCCCATTTGTTGCAGGGATAATACATAGGTATGCAATAACTTCCTGGAAGGCCAAGACTTCTCTATTTTTTCTACACCTATTTCCATAAAACTGTTACCGGTTAGATTCAGAATAGATATACTGGGACTTTGTTTGATCTAGGTCTTCAATGACATTTTTGTTCTATTACATTTCTTCTATTACATTTTTGTTAGTTTTTTGAGTTATCTGTGAAACTGTGACTTTTGCTTATATTATGCTAGGAAAGGTGTGTTCTTTCTAAAGTTCATGTCTGTATTGTTTTTCTGCTGTAGCTGATACAATTTAGTTTTATCTTCATTCTTGTTTTTCTTTGTTTAATTTCTTGCTGCATTATTTTCTATTTTGCAACATAGTCTGTTTGATTTTGATTTCTTCCAAACCCTTTCTTACTATTTTGTGTAAACAAGAAAACAAACTTTACATTCAACAGGTAGGGCACTGAGATATTACAGTAATCTTTACACAGATAAAGTACACCTTGCTTATACTTCCTTTTAGCACTTATAAATATTTTTCCTGATGTTGTAGTGCCAGGACTATTAATACTAAATCTGTGCTAAAAAATGCAGCAGTATTATTTTGGTCCAGGCAGACATAGTACATATTTATTTTTTGCTTTAATCTTTGGTTAAATGTAGCATGCTGCCTGTATTAATTATATTTTTGTTTCAAATCATGGCAAGAAAATGAGAAATACCTAATATGGTGTGAAATCATTTGGTACCGAGAGGTGATAACAATTTTGATTAGCAACAGCTTATATTAAATTAAACCATCAAGAGTTTTTGAGCTAATGACAAGAGTTTATCATCAGTTGGTGCAATATACCCAAAGATGCAACAGTATCTAACCTTTTGGTATACTTTTTGGAGTCATAAAGGTGTTTGATTCATAAAGGTAACTTCTTGGGTTAGGCTGAGGTAGTTTTTCAATAATTCCTTATTAAAATATTTATTGTTATCTCTGTATCTAGTTTATGAAGTTCCATCTAACCATAGTAAAATGATTTCTGGCTAATTTTCCATTTCTCCTCTCAGAAGACAGTAACTGAGCCACACAACAATGCAAGTCACAAGACTCTTTTTATATACTGCATTTTTAACTCTTCTTACTTTCCCAGCTGAAATGCACAGACCATTGTCATGGTGGCTCTTTCTCTCCTTTTCCCTTGCTAATCATTGTGTCCCTGTGGAATGGAGAGCAAAAGTGGGAGGGAGCACTTCCTTACCTACTCACAGCTTTTCTACTGTGTGTAGGAAATTAAAACATAAAATCAGTGTTGAGAAAATAACTGTCTTAGTATGGCAACAAGACAAGTAAATGATTCTGAGCACTCTCAGTTACATTTAATAAGGTTTATGCTTCAGAATATGCCTGCAGTTCAACATTAAAGATGGACATCTACAAGTAACAGATCAGTAATTCATAATAAAGAATAAAGTCTTTTAAAATAAGAAGTTCTGGTAAAGATCATTTGCAGGTCATCTAAGATAACATATTATTCATTTTTGTACTTATGTGGAAAACAAAGTCTGATGAAGACCATTGCATATATTCTGCCTTTAATTTTTTTCACTATGAAAATGTTCCAAATATTTTAGAAGCTGTTTAGACTCAGTATTTTAATTTTACTTTTGATCAGAATGACCTAATTGAAGGTGAAAGTAAAACTAGTAAAAAAATGAGGAAATTGCTGGAGGAATTGGGAAATATTTAAGAAGGTTAGAGGCTCAGGCAATATCCTACTGGCTCAGTATGATACTGAAATGGTCATTGCATGCGTTCTTTTCTAATCACATGTAACACCATAATCATTATTTGTTTCAAGACATCTCGCAATCAGAATCGTTGTTTTATTGTGCCATGCACACATGCAGGTGAGATCTGCCCAAGTTGCCTCATCTTTAATTTGATTGTCAAGACCTGTTATGTTTCTTTAAGTTCTTCTTTAGTGTGCAGACATTAATTTTTTTTAGTTTAATTCTAAAATTTCAGTTCAATAAAAACTTTCCTAGCTTTGGAACATCTTTGTATGGAAACACTATGATAGTTATACATATGTGCCTTTGGGTTTTCTGCTGTAACTGCAGCAAAGTTTTCTAGTTTTCAGAAATTGCCAGAAGCAGAGGGAATAAAGGTCATTTATAGTTTTGATAACCCTCATCATCATCCCTCTGTGACTACAAGGATGTGTTTATTTATATGTGCTCCACTTTTTTCTCTGCTCTATGCCAAATTTTACTTCTCAAAACAGCCATTTAATTTTCAAAGAGATCTCAGGAAATCAAAACATTTTTTTATAGTTGACCTACAGTGCTTATAAATCAGGATCATCCAGGCAATGAAGAGAGATAAATGTGTAGATTAAAAATGGAACTCTATAAAAATAGAGCTAAGAACATCCATCGGTACAAGAAGTCCTTAAAATATGGGAAACATGAATAATGTAGATCTCTGTTGGACTCAATATGCTCAAAACAGAGGGTAGGCATCATTTTGCCAATATTGTGGGCCATAAAACTAAGGAAGAACATAAAAGAAATTACTTGTTCATTTTCATCGAACAGGGTAGTGACAGAACTTGCCCAGTTTTGACTTTTTCATACGTCTCATGATTGAGATAGAGTCAATTGTAAGACAATAAAGTTAAATGGAGAAATTGGTTTTGTGAAGAATATTCAAGTCCAGGGAGTCCTGTTCTTTTTTTCCTCATTTTACTGCTGATCAGTACTCTCCTATGCTTGGAACTTTAGGCTTTCTTGCTTGTGCTAATGCTCATTCACCCTGTAGCACTATTTTTTCCCTGCTTGATAGACAATTGCACCCACCTTTACAGAACACAGCACAGAAATGTGCTTCGGTGCTTGAAATCTGTGCTAGTTTGAAGGAATTTGTCCTTCCTCACTCCCTGGAAAATGGCAATAGGTGGTTATGGCACTGTGCAATTGTACTTACAGGAGCATTGTTATGCCAGTGAGATGACCATGCTCTTCTGTGCTGAGTTTAGGTGTGCTTTCCTTCTGCACAATATATTCTGTCTTGATCAAGCCAGGCTAGAGTCTGTCCAGCTTACAGATTAGGCTTTAATTGGCCCAGACTGGGAGTCGCTATAGCAAAGGATTCCATGCTGGAGGACTGTTTGCCTAGCCACTCCTTAGGATCTAGGACTCTTTTTTTTCTGGTAGTGCTTCAGTTGAGCTCTTCTGTGGTAGTCAGCACTATGCAACAGGAGT